TAATCAGGAAGGATTCCACTACCATACAAAATGCAAAGCTTGCAGCTCAACCACTTATGTTTTGCTGATGTTGTTCTACTTTTCAGTAGAGGGGATTATCACTCATTATTGTTGATGCTTAGGGGCTTGAAAACTTTCTCTCGCTCATCATGACTATACACTAATGCTGCTAAGTCTAATATCTTCAATGCTAACATGGAGGAGTCATGCCTAGAAGACGTGTATGAATCAACACGATACAAGAAAGGGACACTTCCACTCAGATACCTAGGAGTCCCAATATCAGCAAAAAAGATATCAGCAATAAACTGTGATTCATTGGTACAAAAAATAACTAGTAGAATCAGAGGATGAGGGATAAAAAACTTATCTTATGCAGGTAGGGTGCAACTTATTAACTCAGTACTCATGCATGTGCATACATACTAGGCATCGATCTTCATTCTTCTAAAACTGGTGTTGAAGAGAACTACAACAATCTATAGGAATTTCCTTTGGGATGGGAAAATAGAAACAAACAGAACACCTCTAGTGGCATGGGATGTGGTTATCAGACATATAAAGGAAGGAGGATTGGCGATCAGAGACTATGTAAAATAGAATGAGGCTGCAATTGAGAAATATGTACGAGATATAGCAAAAAGCAGACAACTTGTAGGTAAGATGAGTTGATTATGTGTACCTAAAGGAGAGGGAATGGTGGGAATATAGATAGCCGTAAGACTGCTGTTGGTATTGAAAAATAATCTGCATAATGAGAGATAAGTTGGGGACTGGGTATATTCCGAATGGATGGCTTACTTGTAATGGCAAATACACAGTTGGTGGGGGTTATAGTTTGCTTAAAAGGAGTGCACCAAGATGGTTTGAGAGTAGATGGGTGTGGAACAATATGAATGTACCCAAACATAGCCTCATCTGCTGGTTGGCTATGCACATGAAACTAAAGACAAGAGTGAGGCTGAGCAGAATGGGAATATGTCAAGATACTACATGCCTCTTATGTGGGAGCTTACTTGAGTCAGTAGATCACCTAATGTTTGAATGCCAATTCTCTAAGATATGCCTAACTGAAGTCCTCTAGTGGTTGAAAATTCGTGTGAGAAACATAGAGATACAAGGCATGTGGAGAAGAATCACGGGAAATGTGAAAGTACGACTGAATAGATCCTTTATGATGGTTATACTAGCAGCACTTGTCTATGGAATCTGGAAGGCTAGGAATGAAGCGCTATGGCAACTAAGGGTTACCCATCCATAGGAGATGATAAAACATTTGAAGCAAGATTGTATATATAGAGCAATTGAAAGTTTAAATAGAGGACAACACTACAAGGCTAGAGAATGGATAGAAGAATTATACAGATAGCAAGAATAGGCATGTAGGAGAAGATTAGCTGTGGGGGCTGATGTTTCTCTGTTTTGTTTTGTTTTGTTTTGAAGTTACATTGTAAGTTGAGTTTGTGGTGATCAATAAAAAAATTTATTTTCACCAAAAAAAATTTGTATATAAGTTGTATGCAAAGTGTAACGTTTAACCGAATTCTATAAAACAAAAAATTATATTAAGTTGTATTTAAATTGTAGTTTTTTACTAGACTTATACATGTTCATAATAAAATTTAGTTACATTTTGTAAATAAGAAAACCTAGTTAATCTGGGTAAATATTATCCTACTTTTATATATATAAGAAAAAATCCCAGTAATTAATGCCGCAAAAGGGCAACTTTAAAATTCAACCCTCTTTTAATTATTTTGGGTCAATCCTCTTTTAATTAGGTCAGGTCAGATTAGGTCAGTCCTTTTTAATTGCGTCAATATTTATTAGATAATAAATAATAAATAATAAATATAGAGTAAAAGAATATTGCAATGAAAAGTTGATGTAACGATCCGGCCGGTCGTTTTAAGAATTTACGCCCCGATCCCCTATTAACTGCTTTTTCCATGTTTATTTCTGCTATTGTGATTTGCCGGGAATATTCGTTTTGGGTTTCGGAGTATTTTGGGACACTTAGTACCTAAATGAGAGCTTAAGCTTTAGAATTTGGACCGTAGTCGGAACGGTATGAAGACGGCCTCGGAATGGAATTATGTCGATTCCATTAGCTCAGTTGGGTGATTTCGGGCTTAGGGGCGTGTTCGTAGTATGTTTTGGAGGTCCGTAGCTTATTTAGGCTTGAAATGCCGAAAGTTGAATTTTTTGAAGTTTCCGGATCGATAGTGAAATTTTGATATCGGGGTCGGAATGCGATTCTGAAAGTTGGGATAGCTCCGTAGTGTTGAATGTGACTTGTGTGCAAAATTTGGGGTCAATCGGACATGGTTTGGTTGGTTTCGGCATCGGTTGTAGAATTTTTGAGATTTCAAGTTCATTAGGCTTGGATTGGAGGGTGATTCGTGATTTTAGCGTTGTTGATGTGATTTGAGGGTTGGACTAAGTTCGTATGATATTTTAGGATTGGTTGGCATGTTTGGTTGAGGTCCCGGGGGCCCCGGGTGAGTTTCGGATGCTTAACGGAAGTTGAATTGGACTTAGGCAATTTTCTGAATTGCTGAACCTGTTGGTTTCGCACTTGCGGAACTTGGACCGCAGGTGCGGCACCGTAGAAGCGGGTTGGTGATCGTAGAAGCGGTCTGAGGCTTGGAGATCAATGGTCGCAGATGCGGCCCAAGGACCGCAGAAGCGGAACCGCATCTGCGAGTAAAGGGGCGCAGGTGTGGAATCTGGCCGTTTAATGAAATTCCGCAGGTGCGGAGTAGGATCCGCAGGAGCGGGACCGCGGGTGCGGTAGACCCCTCGCAGAAGCGGAAATCGCTGGACAGAAAAGAGAGAAATCGAGGGTTTGAACTCATAACTTCTAAAAACGATTTTGAGCTCGGTGGAAGGCGATTTCTTGAGAGATTTTGAAGGAGAACTATTTGGTAATAAATTCTAACTCTAATTTGGTTCTAATACATTAATCTATTGTTAGTTTTATCATTTAATTGAGGAATTTGAGGGTAAAAGTTTGGAAATAGGGGAAAAAGTTCCCCAATGGAAAATCTGAGTTTTTAGTTAGAATTTTACGTCGGATTGGGGTGATTTTTGTTCGAGTGAACTCGTGAGTGAATGGGTGTTCATAATTCGTAAATTTTACCCGATTCCGAGACGTGGGCCCGGGGAGGATTTTGGGCGTTTTTCTATTTTCTTGACTTAGCTTCGATTCCTTTAGCTAAACTCGTTGTTTGTAGTGATATTTACATTGTAAAATTGATTTGATTAGATTTGGGCCACTCGGAGTTGGATACTCGTGGCAAGAGCGTGATTTCGGATTGATTGAGCTTGGTTCGAGGTAAGTGGCTTGCCTAACCTTGTGTGGGGGAAACTCCCCTTAGGATTTTGGTACTGTTGTTATATGAATATCGTGTACGTGAGGTGACGAGTGCGTACACGTGCTAATTGTTGAAAGCCCCGGTTTTCATTCTATAAATATCTGTGTTTTCTTTTAATTGAGCAATACTTGTATTTGAAGTTTCCTGTTAGGCTTAGGAGAGCATGCTTTTGTGGTTAAACTGTCTTATCTACTTTAACTGCTTACTTGGATTCTGTGTAGCATGTTTAGAATAGAATTTTTCCTGTTTTCGTGATACGAACTTGGATAGAACTGTAGATTTCTTTCTTGAGACTGCTGTGTGTTTACTTTAGGACTATGGGACGGTATCCCGGGAGATCCCCTTGCTTGTTTACTTTGGGACTACGGATCGGTATTCCGGGAGATCCCCCTGCACATTCATATTTGGGACTACGGGACGGTATCCTGGTTGATCCCCCCCCCCCCCTGTACTGGTTATTTACTTTTGGACTACGGGACGGTGTCCCGGGAGATCCTCGGCACATTTATGTTTGGGACTACGGGACGTTATCCTTGGGAGAACCCCTGTTGTTATCACTGCTTACTGAGTTATTTCCTTTCTGAGATTTCATCTTTATTTGACTGTTAGCATCTTTAATTATACTGTCACGTTCTATACTGTTTTACCTTATTATATATAATTATATAACCAGTAGGGCCCTGACCTTCCTCGTCACTACTCGACCGAGGTTAGGCTTGGCACTTACTGGGTACCGCTGTGGTGTACAGTGTACTCATGCCCTTTCCTGCACATATTTTTCGTGTGCAGATCCAGGTTCTTCTGCTCGGCGATCCAGAGACTTCGAGGTATATCTGCCGCGTCCGCAGACCTAGAAGTCCCTCTCTATTCTCCCTTTAGCTATAGACTTCTTGTATTTTCCTTTTGTCTAGACTTCTGGAGTTAGAACACTATGTATTTTCTTTAGCTTGTGGTTCATGAGATTCTGGGTTTTGGAAGTTTTTTGTTCAGTTTGAGAGAGTGATATTGTATATGCCGAGCGGCATTCTAAACTTCTTTATTATGTTACTCGGAATTTTGCTAGTTTCGTATCTTTATTTCCTTTTTCTACAAATTGTTAGGCTTACCTAGTCGTAGAGACTAGGTGCCGTCATGACAGTTCACGGAGGGAGAACTTGGGTCGTGACAGTTGTACTTTTCGGCAATTGTGATTTTTGTGTGAGTAGGCAACAATCTTGTGATTTTTATGTTAGAAAACATAGTTATATGATTTAGGTGATAAAAAATTATAATTATATGATTATTTGTCAAATTTACCCCCGATTTAACTTGAGACAAAGGGCTAAATGAAGAGAGTTAAAAGGTACCCTTCCTAAAAGGTGATGTGTTGAACCTCTGATAGCCAACTGGTTGTGTTATCTTCAATTGTCGTTAAGAGGTTATTTTTTAGAGTTAATTTGTATATAATGATACATTTCGTTGAAACAAGCTTTTTAGTTTTTACCAAAAAAAAAAAAAAAAAAACTACAGACAGACTTCTAGTACTTCATAAGTAGGGTGTTTTTCTCGTTACTATTCCAATAGTCACACGGATGAATGCTACTAAAGATGTTCAAAATATAATATAAGAGTGAACTTTGCAAAGTCTAAAACTCGAGAAGTTCAAGTCAGAAACATAACAGGATTCTCATTTTTCTAGCAGTCAACAGTTAAAGAGAAAGTCTGAGGAAAACCCCAAAAACAAAATGGTAACTGCATAATTAAGCAAGAAGGAAAATAAAAATAAAATAGCAACGTAACAGGAGACTATTGCATAAGAAGGCTTCTAATTAGAGCTGCTTGGGTAGTGTCTGAAGTTTCCAAGAGTTCAGATAATCTGTCACTCAGATCATCAACTTCTCTGTGTAGGCTTCTTATGTAGTTGCATGTCTCTTGCAAGACTCTAGCTGCTGAAACCTGCACCAAATTAAGTATATTATAACTCTATGTTTTAAACAAATAAATATATTACTCAGATCAGAAAATTAAGTTTAGTAAGTTCAACAAATCAAGGAACAAAAAAATGCTATGTCGGAATTTATGTTATAAGATCTTGTTTGTATTTGGGATCCAATGTTGCAAACCCAAGATTATAAAACCAATAAAATCTCACGAACCACTACACATTAATGAATTTTACTAATTTCAAGAGGAAATCACAAGAAATTAAGATTACTTCTTACATATATCTTTTCAATGATTACTTTCATTTTTTTTCAATCACAAATAACAGATGCCTCCACACATTTTAGGGTTTGTTCCCTCATTATATTGTGCCAAAAAAAAAAGGTTAGAAGGAGGGTGGGTGGGGTGGACCTACATTGTTACAAGGGGTTCAGTATACAGTATCCCCTGAACATATCCAAAAAATTTATTGTTTAGATAGGTAAATTACATCTTAAATTAGTACTATTACTTATTGAATTTTATTGACGCAAAGAATGTTTCAAGAGCAAATGCTTAAGAAATTGATGAAAATTTGTGCAAGGTCTTGTAATGTGCAAGCTCCATTAGAACCATCACTTTGTTATAAGTTTCTTGAATCCTCCTGGTGAAAATCCTGAGTCACCTTTTAAGGGCAAGCGGCCGCAAGGGTTTTGGATGGCGGTGGGAGATTAGCATTTGGGTTTTAGTTATTTGAGTACATAAGAAATAAGACCAACAGTAACTTAAAATTAAATTACCTTGTCAGAGGACCTATTCTGGAGCTCAGGAAGAACCTGTTGCAACTTTGAAACAAGATCATTGATTTGGTCCTCACTTATTCTTGAACCTCCTGAATGTCTTGATCTTGACCTTCTGCTAGACATATTTCAAATACTTAGCTTGTTCAATATATGTCTCTAAATAAGAAACAAAAAAGCAGCTAAAATCTGTATGAACAAATCAGAGGTGATTGATAAAGTGTGGAATAGAGTCAGAGAAGAAGGTATGGAGTGTCAAAATGGTGCTTAAAAAGAGTAGACAAGTGTACTGAAGAAATGAGTGTGCTTAGCTTGTCTTTAAATAGGGTTTTGGGAGAGAGAGAAGAATCAATTTTCTAGAGATCTGCCCTTCTATATAGCTACTCCCTCTGGTCCAAAATAAGTGATTTTTTGGATGTTTTTGTACAAATTAAGAAATTCACCTTTTAGCATTAATTAGCAATGGAATTGACCATATTAACCTTTACTATCTCACATAAACACTCCTAACACATGTTCCAACACTATTTACTCCAAGGACAATGTAGGAAAAAAATAATTAATTCATTCTTGAAATTTGAAAAAATCACTTATTTTGGACCACAAGAAAAAGGCCAAAAAATCACTTATTTTGGACAGGAGGGAGTATCTTTTTCTTTTTCCTTTTATTTCTGTGGTTGAACTAAAGTTGGATTTTATGAACAAGTAGCAAAGCTAGCAATTTCTATGAATCCATCCCGACCCCGAGGGGGTGGCGTGGTTGCGGCGTTCTATTGCTCTCTCTTAATGTGTGTAAGTGTACGTGAATGTGTCAGAAAATACACGTAATACCATGTTATTTTATTACATCTACGTACTACTCTTGAGAAATATATGAAACTAATTCATGATATCAGCAAAGAAACTCACTAGCTCGATCTCCTCTATGAGTAAGGAGATAGTAATTTTCATGACATAAGGAGCTAGCAGTTTTCTCAAGAAAAAACTTACTATTACCTTGATATTTACATAAATTGTTATTTAATCATTGGTATAAACACCAGAAGTAAAAAAAAAAGGTTTTTCCCGTTCTCTGAGCTCAGAAGGAAAGGAGAGAGGAGGGGGTATTGACTGGTCAAGATTCATATTTCATGCAAACATGTTCTTTCCTCAAATGGGAAATACAACAGGCGACACGTAGAAACCCAAGAAGGCAAAAATAAGCGTTACTCATCACCGACCCTCTTAACTGGGCTTTTTTGTTTATCTATATATCGTTGTTTTTACATGTTTTTTATATTGGCGTAGTGAGGTCACTCATGATGAGATGAATCCATGCATATCTGATCTTAGTATCTACTTGACAGATCAAGTAGTTTACTACTATTAGTTCAAGAGCTCTCTTTTGCCCTATAAACTGACCAAATACAATTTCCAGATTCTGATATTGCCATTTCTACGTTGAATTTCTGCCTTCTTCCTTTGACTTGGCAACTGTAGTACGAGTCATTATCTTTATATATATGTAGCTGATCTATCATCTATATATAATTATATATATCTTATGTATTATTCACGTTAATTCGAACTAGTATATATATCAATGTTTTTAGAATAATCATATGTTGCTTGATCATTGATTGTGTAATTGTATACGTTCATTCAGGTGATCGATAAGTCACATCAACTTAATTCAACATGTTAATTCCTTCTTGTTTCTAGGCTACGATACGTTGTTACTTAAAAGCTTTAGTTGGTCAACGTAACGGGAACCAGGATTAATTGAATCAGTGTGTTTTGAACGACGAATGGTTATTATACATAACTTTCTGTGTTTTTGAGAGACTACTAATTCAGTGAAACTCTTTCTCATGATATAGTACTATACATATACCACAGTTAGAAGGAGCTAAAGTTATGTCATATTTCTTTGGTTTCACGTTCTTAAGAGGCCTAGAAAGTCCCATTGGTGGTAAATCATTGAATATTTTGTTTTAGTTTAGCTGATTAGAAGGGGAAGACTAAAAGGAATCTTGTGAAATGAGGTTTTCATATCTTAAAAAATAGACCGATTTTTATTGTCTTCATACGTAGCCTACCTGGAATCTCTGTTTTGATTCAGTAGCTAGTACAGATACATGATGAAGTCTAAGTTGGCAACTTCGGCATATTAACATGGTATGCATACTTGGTAATTAATTACAATCTTCGTACGCTTGACTCCTTTTGCTACTCTATTTCTCTCGTATATTGTCATAACGTTCTTAATGCTAGGTTTTGAAAAGGATTTTTCATGTCATTCCCATTTAGATCCGATTAGGATTCCTCCATTGTTTCCTTTTTCTTTCGCACCTTTTCCTCGAAATGAGAAAGAAGAATATCCAAAAGGTAAATTACAGGTAACTCTGTTTATGAATGGAATATGAAAAATATAAATTAAAGCAATCAGCTTGGTATAAAAAGTTAAATAATACTGTACAGTATAAAAACATTTATACTTTGAGTACCATTTTCTTAGCTAAGATTTTACAATAAAAAATTTAAGAAAAGCAATTGATGATTTTCCATGAACACATGCTTGCACAGAGCATCCAATGGTTGGAGGGAATTGAGATTCCATGGACCATGAAAATAATGTATTTGTCTTTTCGTACAACATATTATTCAGGTATTTCAAGCAAAATTTGTTAATACTGCTAGACACTTAACTTCTTCTTTTGTGCCAAATAAATAATTTGCATGGATCAAACGGCATATCTATGATTCCTTACAGAGCTTCAAGTAAACATCTTTTATTTTATTTTTTGCAATTTAATTTCTACTTGAAATTATTCAATAAACGTGGAGATGAACTTTCATGAATAAGTAAAACAAAATCATACTACGAGTAGTATATAGCAAACATATATATAGCTTATATTTATGCTCCCTGAGCCACTATTAAAGGAAAAAACATGTTTTTTCTCTTTTTCAGTGCGATGCAAATATAATATTCTTGTTCCTATTGGCACTAAAAAACAATCTCGTAAACCAAAAAAATAACTGCTGTAACCTTTACGAGGTTCGTGTATTGGAGGATGATTTTAAAGAATAAAAATCAATAAACTCCAAAAGGCAAAAGAGACGGAGAAAAAGAACAATTAAGTCTGTTAACAAAGAAACCTATGCTGGGATAATTTAAGCGCGTAATAGAAAGGCTCAGCGAGCTTTTCGTAGCACATGATGTTGATCCAATAGACAGCAAAGACTGAGGTTGAAGTCACGAGGGGCTCTATTTTTTATTCGATTTAGTTTACATAAACTAATCAGAGTATTTTACATTATCAGCGTAACTTTATCAATTATAAAAAGTTATTTCCTATAATTTTATGTTAAAAATTAAAATTCTATGTTTATATTGTTATATATAAGTAATCTTAATTTAATGGTATAAAAAACTTTTTGCGCTTTGGCTGGTATTAAATGGTGTATTCAGAATGGTTTCTCAGACTTCATACTTGAAATGGACTCTTTGCTCATAGTCAACATGATCAAAGAAAGACACACTGACAATTACAAAATAAAGTACACGATCAATGATATCTCGCAGTGTATGAACCAAGTCAATATCATTCCTATATAATTTTTTTTTGGTTAAGCCTCCCATCTTGTAATTTTTGGACACAGGATGGTGTTTTACACCTCTCTGTAATTTTTTTGGTTAGGGTGGACTCCGTAGTGTTGTAATCCTTGGAGGTAAGGCAATCTCCCCCCCCCCCCACCCCCCCCCCCCGTTTTTTTTTTTAAAGATAATACAACACACCCAGTTGATACTGGGAAATTTAAAAAAAAAAAAAAAGGTATAAAAAACTTGTTCACTATTAGTTTACAAGAGGTAAACTCTTCTTTATTTTGTTTCAAATCCAGTGGGCTGAAGTTTGCAAATATTAATCAAGAGCTTAGTCGTGTAAGAAGAGATCAATTAGTTTTATAGAAATCTTTGACACTCCAAGAAAGATATAACGTGATCTTCTCAGCATATGCTTTGTTTTGCCTGCTTAGCTTGTTTATTTTATACTTTATAGTACAACCATGATTTGTCTAAATATTCAAGGCCACAGATATTGATATCTGAGCCTATGATGAGGCTATAACCATTAATATAAACGCTTTTAGTCGGTGAATAGTAAGATCTTCATATTAACCGACGTATAGTAAACTGTGATACCGACAAATATACTCTTTTAATTAATCTATCTACAGGCGTACTAGTCGATATTACCATTGGTACATATTATTTTAAGCCTTCTCGATTAGTTGGGAACATTAATTTAAAATCTCAATATGTGCACAAACATCGATCTATTCTACAACTATATACTACTTAGCTCTCAAGTTAAAAAAAAAAAAAAAAAAAATTCAACTTAGCTCTTGTTCATGAACCAATATCAGAATATCCGTTCTATATATATTCTTTTTGTGCTTGTCATATTTCTTATTTGGCTGATATGATTAAAAGGAAATAAGATATGTGAGAAAAAATAAATGGGGGCCCAAAGTGAACGACTGCTTTTACGGGTCAATTAATTTTGTGGGGTCTTTATTTGTTTTTAGTTTTATGACCTTATATCCTTTTTTACGCATGGGAGATTTACTTTTACATATAAGAGATCCGTTTCTTACACATAATGAATTTAAAAAATCATGCTTTTAATTTTAAAATTATAAATGGGCATAATGTACAACTAGCTAAATAACAATGGCGACAAAAAGAGGTGAACGAAATTAATACTTGTGTTTTGTAACGTAAAGGGCTACAACCGTAAAGCTTCAGTCGTAAAAGAGCAGATGCATAAAAAGTTTTTCCTTGGTAGAAAAGAATATAAAGAAAAAGAAAAATGTCTTTCTTCTCTTTTTTTCCTTCAATATTTTAGAGTGATCGTTGTTAGAAGCAAAGTTGCCCGCTATTTTTAGCTTAAGAAATAAGGTGGATGGCTATTTGGGTTAATTCCTTTTTATTTTTATTTATATGCATGAATAATGTATCAAAAATGCACTCCGCCAATATACGTGTATATATTTCCTGGTAATAGGTTATTTAACATTTCTTACAAATTAAGAATCCATGTTTGTTACAAAAAATAACTTGTAATAAAATCGGTTCGTATTAAATACTCGAATAATAAAGCGACACGTGGAACCGGAGACAGACGGAAAGCGAGTGTGATGACCCGATAGGTTATTTGTAGTTTTACCCTTCATTTCTGTGTTCCGAGAGCTTGAATAGTTTTGCTTATCCTTCCTCAATTTGCGTGCACAGTCCGTACCTTTCTCCGGAAAAGTGAAAAATTGA